ATATTCATTTAAATTATAAATGATATGCACTTTATAGTGTATACACATATACAGTCTATACATAAATTACATTTAGAAAATTTTATAGATTTTTCTTTTTTAAACGGTACAGCATGATTTATGTCCAGGGATCGTGACTGTCCCAAACTGTGACATTTTGCTCCTAAAATGTGAGACATTGCATGTACATTTTTCATGGGCTTAACCTGTGCAACCAGTAAACTAGCTGTTTTATTATTATTATTTTTAAATAGTATTCTTGAATGATTTTTTTTTTTTTGTTCTTGACTAAATTCTGCTCCACAACACACATCAGTCAATTTATCAGTAATGTCGTGAAAATGGATGGGAGTAAGTATTTACTTTTCAAGTCAACTTAATATGTGCATCCGTACATTTTCAACTTGCGGTCCTAACATTTTAGATTAGGAGCCACTATGCTCCTAGTCAAAAAAAAGTTAGTCTGGAGCCCTGATCTCAAGTCACACCTTGCTGCTGTGGGATGTAAATAAATAAACTTCTAGCCTAAAAATGTCATTTGTTCAGACTAGATGAAAGAAGTCAAAATTAATCAAACTGACAAATACTGTAAATATTTCCCAAGAAATGTTCAGTGATATTGATTGTGAGAAGTCGTTCCTGTTTAAGCAAAATATGCAGTCCCACATGCTACTGTTTAATGCCTATCATTATTCAAAGGTGAAATTACAGACATAATAGTCTGCTCTCAGTAAACTTTTGTGTTCTCAAGGTTGGTGACCCTAGTCAAATACATATTGTTGCCATGCATTTTGGCCAGGGCTCTTTTAACTTGGGGCTTCCAAATCTTTCTTTGTATTTTTGCAGCATCCAACATTTTGCCCTCATGTACAGTGAGAGGATGGGCATTAATCCAGAGGTGCTTCTCAAAACCCTTTGGGGGGATTTCTACCTTAATGCGAAAGCTAAGAAGATCATGAAGGGAGCTCAGGTAATGTCATGATGGTACAACATTCAGTTAATATGACTTAGTTTAATTTATTTAAAAAATGGCTATTAAATTTTCATTCTTAAACCATGGGTTTACAACATAGTAATACTAAAGTAAAAAATAGGCTAACATTTGCTGGTTTCAAATTTGGTATTAAGCTGGCTGTATAAAATACTTGTAGTGGAATTCAGACAGTTAAAGGAACACACACCGCTCATTACGCTGAATATCCAATGTCCAAAATTTTATGAAACCGCTTCTATAAAAATAATCCTGCTAAAATCAATTGCAGCTGATGACTTGTGGGAAAAAAGTTGAAGTTGATTTTAATATCAAATGATGACCTTACCCTGGTCAGTGCCATTTTGACCATTTTTGAGCAGTCATGTGACCACTATGATGTAGCTTGTGCATAAAACAGCAGCAGCAGTTTTTCAAATTGTTTTTTTTTTCCTGGTCAATTTTTGATATAAATATGCCATACAGCATCATCAAGTATTGGCATAATTCAGACTCTCCTAACGATGTCAGGTTTCATGATCTTCCTTTTGAAAAGAAAAAACAAAATTACAGTGGCTGTGCCTGCCCCCCCCCCACACCCCCTCCCTGCACACAAACTCACACAAACACACACAGACGCACACTTAAACAAACACACACACGGCATGTGCACACACATTCAATTCAGGTTTCATTTTCTGCATCCCTGCTACCAGTACTCCTACACTACAACTGGAACAAGCGCCAGTCCTAAGCATCTTGCAGCCAGGAACAATTATATAAAAATAATTACCGTAAAGATTACAGTTTTAAAAAGTATGTGATGAAGGCATGGGATAGCCTTAGTATTCCAGCAGGTTAAGCAAAACATAAAGATTGTAATCCAAACATTTACAGTTCACAGCACCCTGCACTGTTGTATCACCCCCAAATCATAAGTTCATAAGTGTGGACAAATTGGATTTTTTTTTTTTTTTTAGTCATCCATTTTCATTCAGATAGGAGATCCTACTACAATTTAACTACAATGGGAAATGTCTGGTCTGATAAGTATTATTACAGTGTAAAAATTAAAATCGGTGGGTACCATCCTGATGTTTCTGTCTCTGCTTTAAAGATAAGCCATCCTTGACCCTTTTTCTTTGGCATAGCAATCCACACTTTGTTACATATTATTACGTAGCAGGAAAAATATGTGGCCTGTAAATGGCGACACCTTTCATCTGAGAAGTTGATCACAACTTTTTGGGTGAAGGTAGCCAATCACCACTTTTCTCGTCAAAACCCACTCCAGGTTCAACCTCATCCTGGCTGCACTTCTCTGTTTTCCATCGTTCTTCAGGTCCTTTGAATCTTTTGGAGTCAAATCGCCTGTAACATATATCACGAAATCCCACAGTCTGAATTTCATAGCCACAGGCGTCAAAAACAGGATCCCTCTTAAAAATGGTTGAAAAAGTCTTGAATTTTGATATGAGTCTTAAATTCTATGCTGTATGCAACTTGCCTAAGTCCCATTTCTCCTCAAAAGTGTCATTTGACATTTTGATTAAATAATGTAGCCTAAATTAACAGGATGGAGGTCACAGTATGTGGTCAAAATACAATGAAAGTTCACTGAAAAACACTACTACACGGATGCATTTTTTTTTTAAATACACCGAGGCAGGACCCACAATGGAATTCCTTAGTTAGGAAAAGTTAAGAATTTTAAAAAAAAAAAAAAAAACACGCTTACATTGAAAATGTCATAGACACAGTTACCTGCATTGTTGTTGTCAGACCTCGTCCCAATAAAGCTGTCCTGGCAGCTGGAATATGTAGGGAAATGCTCAGTGAATCTTCGCAACGTGTTTTATAGTCACACTGCACATGATTGGCGGGCGGGAGGAGACAAGGAAAACGGTTTACTTTTAACTTTTTCCAGATGAACATTACTCTGCAATTATGGACACACACAACAACAACAAAAAATAGACACCTGAGGACGGGAGTCCGAGGAGACAAGTTTAGTGACACATTGACGACATGTCTGCTTTGCTTTAATCGCACCACGTCCCTCCTCATCCTGGCCGGACCCTTTTGATGCCTAAAGCCCTCCAGGCCGCTTGTGATTCAGCAGCACTCCAGCGGCCACTCCGGCCTGCCCACTGGGGTCCTGCTTGTCCCTCTCAAGGAAAACACCAGCCATCTGGTCTCGCATGGGAGAATGCGGAAGTAGCGGAGTGACAGTCATTGGGAGCAAGCGAGCGGCAGCCAGCGTTCCTTTGGGCCTCCCGTTCGTTTGGGGCTCCGGCGACGGCTGACCCATTGATTCGACATTGGCGGCGGGATTCATCCCGGAGAGCCAACCGGCAGATTGGTGAGCCCGGCGGTGGCGCCGGCGGCGGCGGCGGCGGAGATAGTCGCACCGGGATCACCCCGGGGAAGCAACCGGTGGATTGGTGGGCCCGGCGGCGGCGACATTGGCAGCGGGATCCACCCCGGAGAGCAAACTGGCGGATTGGTGGGCCTGGCGGCTGCGGCGGCAGCGGCAACAGCGGCAGTGGCAGCAGCGTGAACAGATCCACTGCGACGTCACCAACGTTCGGGTTGGCTGAGGGACCACAGCACGCGTCGTCAACCGGCCGACGGACGG